GGAACCTTGGGCAATGGTAATCGATGATTCCGACTTCCATTATTTCTCACCTCTACTGATTCTTAGAATTCGGAGGTATTCGTCGACGTTCAGCTATCCCTGGACAAGTTCATCAATGAATTCTCAATGGTATCAAAAAAATGAGTGCCCTAACTTGACATGCAAACATTAATCATGATTTGACTTGCAATGACTTTAACCCCACTAGGTTTGTTTACATAATCCAAAGGATGCGCTTCTCACTTTCTGTTTCAAGTGTGTATCTTGTGAGACGTAAATCAGCTAAGAAATTGTATCTAATGCGCATGTGTATCAGCTAACTGAGTCCCTTCACCTCCTCGCCAGTGTACATCTCCAATATCATCCACAATGCATTGTGGGAAGACATTATTCTGGTTTGTGGCAGGCAGGCTGCCGTTATCAATATTTGGTATAATTACATTGATGATTATCGAAAATTGAGCGCTATGATTGGCTAGGAGCGTCGCTTCATCCCGCTATAATCACCGCACAGTGATTATAACATTGAAGGCTAGCAGTTTTCAAAATGGCAGCCAGATTTGTTGATGTTTCGGAGTCGGAAATTGATCAATTCAAAGAAAATGATGTTCCTCGAAAAACAAAAGATGCTACAAAGTTTGGAGTCAATCTACTCAAAGGTAGGTTGATAAAATTTCTCTTTTGCAAGTAACACAATTTTACTGAAAACTGGTACAGTTAAACCTCTCTAATACGGACGCCGAATGGACGGAGCAAGGTGTCCGTATTAGAGAGGTGTCCGTATAAAACAGGTCACTACGATGACGTCACTCTATGACTCCACTTACAGTTTTAAGGGTTCAGTAGCTAAAACCAGGCTCACACTCGTCTTTAAACTGCATTTAAATTCATTAATTCACAGTACAAAGACACTGTCGTTCAGTAGCATACAACATTGTTCATCTCAACTACAGACAAATTACTGCTTTAAAACGAAACGAGCTACAGCGCAATTCTGTAAATAAAAAGTTGTAACGTAAAGCACAATTCTGAAAGCGTCCTTCCCTATTTCGCAAGTGCAGTGAACAGTAACTAGAGTACAAAATCTAAAAGAAAACATCTTTATGCTATCTCTAGTTAATCAAGCCTTAAAAAGTCGGTTATGTTCCTCTGTACACCTTTTGCAAATCCTTGTTTGATATACGGTGGCTAAGCATTTGAAATCACCTTGCACAGCTCATCAGCCAGACGGGATTCACCTGATCGGGATTCGGGATTCACCTGATCACCGCAGTGTCCGTAATAAAGAGGTTCAGTTTATAGCGGGGCTCCCACGCGCGCTAGCCCCATACTCATAGAATATGGTCAACCTCTTTTCGTTTGGTTGTCACGTGATTGACCGAGCGTACGTAAGTACGTACGTACGTACGTACGTAAGCGTCTACGGATTGTACGGGTGGGGTAGGGGAGACCATCAAAAGGAACGGAGGAATGTCTCAGGCGTGTCTTGGCAAGTCCACATCTTTTACATTGGACATTCCCAATATGGCCAATTGACAGCTGTCAAAACAGGATAGCCACTGACCAGTACCCCATGACTGACCATATAGCGGGTTCATGTGTCAACCCATTGAGGTGACGTGATTTATTTGGAAGCTGTCCGCTGACCAGTTAATTGTTTTACTAGATCGCGATCAATGTTGAATCTCATAGTTTCTAGCTAGTTTGGGATCGGAGCAAAGGAAAACTGATACACATATTGGACATCAATGATGTGATCAATTGACAGCTGTCAAAACAAGGTACTCGCTGACCAGTATCACTTGACCGCGGGCTCAGGTGTCGACCCATCGAGGTCAAGTATTTTTTGAAGTTATCCGCTGACAAGGTACTGGTTTTCAAATGATCGCAGGCTCAAGTTTAATTGTTTTTAAATTCATATGAAACATGTTGTGTTTATATGCCGCACAATTAAAATTTTGATTTCAAACTGACCTCGGACGCGAAAATTCAGCCAGCTGCTACAGGCAGGGAAGGCAGTTGCTTTTGACTTTTCTCACCATCTTTCACGCGTTGGTCACGCTCTACGTCCAATTTTTATGCTGTGATTGGTCAAAATTTGACAGGTGAGTTCATGCGGAAAATGTATGCGGCATCTTGAATCTTGTTTACTTTAACAGCTGAAGCTGACAGAGATTTGTGTCAACTTGTGATGTTTTTAACTGTTTTTTTCCACTGGATGTACAAAATGAAATTTAGCTGCTATCAGGAGTCTTCTGTTATTCATAGCTAGTTTGTTTATTGGGTTTTTGGTCAAGAAATACGTCACTTGTCGAAATCCGATTTCGGATGGCATCGTTTTCGTTTCGACCTTGCTTAATGCGTAAGAGGGTTGCAAAGTCTGAAGCGATACTGGCCTTACTCGATACCTTTCAGGAGCTGCATCTCGAGTGGTAAGCTGAGTAATTATTGTATTTGATGCTTGTTTTTTATTTCTAATTTAATGAAGTCGAGCGTAGTTTATGCGGCTATTTTCTTTACGCACGTTTGTAAGATTTGAGACAAGATCTGAAGGCATACTGTATTGCGTGGACTGGACTGGATTGGACTGGACTGGACTGGACTGGACTTGTAAAACGGGAACTCAGGATAGGCTCCTGCTCCTAATTTTTTCCGCGTTTGTAAATCAGATAAAACTGAACGGTGAACAGACTTTTACAAAAACTAATTTACGTTTCAAAATTCTGTTCATTTATTTTTAGGTTCTTTTATTCCGACGGTTTAAAGAGCGTAACAACCCCTGTTTGACCTTTTAGCTACAAAAGAGGTTTATATGCGCCAGTTACAAACAATTTAAAAAGTTTTGGCCGCGAAGAAATTTATTTATCACCAGTTCATAATCGTAACTGTGTTTCATCGAATCTTTAAGCAGCCAGTTTGTAACTGGCGCATATAATTGTAATTTTATCTTGTAATTTTAATCGCTGTGCCGATTGTTTTCTGTCGTTCAGTGAACAAGGCTTCCCCGATTACTCAAAATTCCGCGCGTTAAACCATTTTAGATAAAAAATAAACATAATAAATCCTTTGTTATGTTGGAGCGTAACTCTGTTAATGTTCATTCAAACACTTGTCACAGCCAGCACTGCAAAAGTCAGAACCGGCTGGCCGTATAGGTGATTTTGGAAATTTATTTTAACGGTGTAGCTAAAGCCCACGCGTGCTTCGATCGTCCTGAATATTGAATGATAGCAATTTGTATTGCAAAATTGTGAAATACTTCATTCTGTTGGAGGTCTGTATAATGAAAGCAGTGCCTCATAGTACTGTTTCACCTCAGATGTGATGTATAAATGATATAAAAGTTTGGTTTAAACGCACCCACATTTGTTGGCAAGATTTTGTAAAGTAAACTTGTCGAACGCAAAAAATTCGGCCGGAATTTTTTTCCAGGCCTAATAAATCTACGGTGATCAAGTATTAATAAATGTGATCGAAGATGATTGCAAGTTTTGGGGTGTACATATGAGGCTATCAATTCGATGTAAGATTTAGTTCACTCTTGGGCTGTTTGCAAATTATTTTCCTCTAAAATCACTTAGCCTTTCCCCGAAAAGTCACATGAATGTGCTCTAAAGTTAACTGAATTGTGGAATACAAGTTTATTGTTTCTATATATTATGAATTTACTCTCTGGGGCCGAGATTTAGTGTCCGTTGTCCGTATTAGAGAGAGTCCGTATTATAGAGGTCTTTTTAAAAGAAAATATTTGAGAATTTTGTCGGGACATTGGAAACTGTTCGTAAAAGAGAGGTGTCCGTACCGAGAGGTTCGGCTGTATGTTTGTTACAATTTTTGGGTTCAAAGTGTCGGCAAATTTTAGTAACTTTTGCGAAATACTTTGTTCTACAGAATGGTTTCAACAGCAGCAAGAGTTCACAAATGAAATAGAAAACATGGAAGTTGATGAATAAAAGAAATGTCTGGCAAAATTTTACGTTTCCGTGAGGAAAATCGACGGCAGCTATTATAAGAAAACCAGCTTGTTGTCGATCACAGCCGCCCTCGACGGACATCTTAAAGCCCCAAAACCTTTCAAAAATATGTCTCTTTTTTTATTTTATTTTCTCGAATAATCATCAATGTAATTATACTTAAACAATTAGTCGCCTCAGGCGACGTGAATATCGGCGACTAATTGTTAAATATCATTGTGGTTATTCTTAAACAAGTCTTGACAAAAGGCTTAATTTCCAAATAACAGGCCACAAGTTATTTGCATGTAGTTTTCAGCTGTGTTCCAAGCCTTAGCAGCCGACATTAATTCAGCCACCCAATTAGAATTGTCACAGCTTCAACAGAGCTTTCCTCAGCAAAAGCAGAAAGGCTTGAACTAGTCTCCAGACTTATAAATGTCCTTCAACTACCAGACTGCAGAGCACACGAGGGGGGAAATCATTGAAAATGTATTACAGCTGCCCTGATCTCTGCAGAACTACATTTTAACAATCCTGTTGAAAAAATATTCATGAAGTAAACCTGTAAACTTCAGAGCATGCACACTGTCTACACCTCTACATGACACAATACAAAGGGGAAAAGCTCAACACTCAACACTTCGTAGCATATGATGATTCATACAGGCAAGTATGAAATCACTGTATATCAGAGTCCATTATTTTGCGCTCTTTATTTATACTTCAAATTCTAAGTGAAAACCGGCAATGAATAAACGAAAAATACAGGAAAAACTTTTATTGATTGAAATATATGTTACAAGTGAAAATGGTGATTTTCGGCCACTATTCACAACAGTTTACTGCAAACACTTCTGAACTTAAAACAACACAGGCAAAATAACAACAATCACACATCTTTAACAATGCTCATACCTTGGCACAACTCATAAGCAAGTCAGGATCCTGCGGACACCAGGCTATTGACAAGATTCCTCTGCAAACAAAAACACACAACAATATCTTTGTAAAACATATTTTTTCAAAAATGTTATTACAGTCTGGGTGTATGAATGTTACCAGTATTGCTACCTGAATACAGAGGAATCCAGGGCTCGACAAAAGCGCTGTCAGATAGCCCGAGGCTAGTGAAGCGACACGTCGGGTTAGTGTCTTTTCATCGTAGCTTGCCCGACGGGCAAGCAACATTTGCTGTTTTTTTCTCATCATCAAGTTGAGAACGAAATAAGAAGTGTGTAAGAAAAGTTCCCTAGTGAAAATCATTGTTCATAACATTTTTAAAATGTGAGAAAATATCAAAGGTGAACAAGAGAACTTGAATTGAATGATGCCAGGAGTCTATGACCCAGTGATGGGCTCCTGATGATGCCTTTTAGTAAATATAAGCGCTAGCGGCCATCATTGTGCACTCACTCTTCTACTTTTAGGATCTGTCTTGTAGTTTATAACCGTTTTCTTTCATTTGCCCTGAGTCACAGTCTTTGCACTAATTATTCTGAATAGATTGTTTTTCCGCAAACGGCAAACATCTTATTTCTGCCGTCTGCGGCGTTTCCACGTAAAAGTGAAGAGTTTCGTGTTTCTTAAACTCATGAACATGTGCATTATTTTCGATCATTCTGGTGGATTTATTTTATGATTCGAAGAAAAGTAAAGATAATCAAATGCATAAGCTGACGTTTGCTGTGGAAAGCTGTTCGTAATTTAACCCTTATCTTGATACTCAGTCACGTATTTACGTAATCTAAATTGTGTTACTTGGCATAAAACGTCCGAAAGGGCTTACAAGAATTTTACGTTATAGACTTCTAATAAGGAGTGTACTGGTTTCATTTATCAATCGATCATAACTTTCACAACGAGCGCAAAAATAAGTTTTTTCTGTAAAGTTTCTAATTTATTCCGCAACACTCGCCGTCGGGAGAAAACACAGTTTTCTGTGGTTTTGGTACAACATTCTTGCCTTGTTTGAATTAAATATTACCCTGCAATAATGTTACATTTGTTACTGAGTGATTTGCGATTTTTTTCTTCAAAAGTATTTCGTTACCTTTAGTATTTCGTTGGACTTTTCTTGTATCAGGTGGGTTGGTTCCAAACCAAATTTCGTCACCTTCGTGTATTTCGGGAACAGCTTGTTTGATTATTTGTGAAATTTCTTTGTTTCGACGGCAGCAAACCGGGAAACCGAAACTTAAGCAAGTTGGCGTCACTTGCTCGGAGGAGCTAGAGGTGAATCAGTGTATAGCACTGGACAGCCCGACTTTGAGTAGCCAATCAGAGCGCGCAAAAAACATTATCCACTATTTTAGTAGATTTAACAATTATTCTTTGAAATCGAGGTGAGTAGTATAGGAGGCATGTTTTACGCCT